GGGGCGCCAGCCTGCGGGTCCGAACCCATTTTACACCCCTAGTTTTAAGATGGGTTTAGTTAATTTTTTACTTATAAATGTCTAAATTTTTAGGCATTTAGGTTTTCTATAATTTTATAGTCTATATTTAGATCAACATAAAAATTGATAAATCGAATAATATTATGAAAATATATAAATAAAATATTTACAAGATAAAATAAATAATCTATATTTTTTTTAATTGAATCATCAATCAGGTATGATAGTATTCTCTCACTATTTTTTTGTTTGTTTTATTATATTGATAGAGTGATTAAATTCAAATATAAAAATTATAAAAACTAAGATTCGTATCTTTCACATATCATTTCGATACTTTTTCTAAGAACTTATTAGACTTTGTTACTTTATTATTGGTGGCATTGGAATAAGATGAAATATTAATGAAGGTAATTAGTGTTTTAATTAACATAATAATCATTGGCCAGCCTGTCTTCTTGACTAATTTATTATTGATTTCATTTTCACTGTCCAATTTTCTACTTTTAAACGTACTATTATCAGGATGTATTGAATTCGTAGCATTGCCCATTTTTAGTAACATTAATAATTTCTCTAGAAGAAAATATCTTTTTTTCTTCATATTATTAAAACTTCTGAGTGCGGTCCTAATTCTAATTTAGGCAATATCCAGCTGGCGCAAGATCAATATGTAATTTTGGTTTATTATATCTGAAATTTTTTATTTCTTTTCAAAACAAAAAAAATTCAGAAAAGTAATATACTTTAAGTTATAAAAAAAAAAGAAGTAATATACTTTAATTGCTACTTGGGTACAAGACTGTAAAAACATCCTCAAAGTATTAGTTTTCTTATGTTTTTAATATTGAAATATTTTTATAGTGATTTTTTTCAATTTGTAATTCAAATTATTTCTTCTGCTACTTGATTTATATTCCTAATTTCTTATTTATGCTTTCACATGAAGCAATTTTTAGGTAAGATAAGTAAATAAGCTCTTTTGTTTGTTTGTTTTTTGTAATTTTATGCATGAAAAATGAGTGTTGTGCGACCCATATATATTTATGAGAAATCGATGGAAAACCTTATTATAATATCATATGGTAAATCATAGCAAAACAAATTTCAATTCAATTCGAAATACGTCGGTGGATTCTATTTTTATACAATTTATTTATTCCTTTATTTATACACTATTTTTTTCATCCTAAATTATTGTGATTTAATCACCTATTGAAATGTTTCGATTTAAAAATCATATTCATTTGTTTTATTTTGGATTTCTATTAAAGTTGACATTTACTCAAAATCAATGTCATTAGTTTCTTTAAATCGTAACTATTTTATTTTAAAATAATCTATCCCTAGTGTCAATAATTTAAAAGGTTAGAATCCAATTAGAATATTCATATGGGTCCCACTTTGACCGAGAATCTCGCCAGAGAAAAGGTCGAAAAACAAACCCTCCTATTTTGAGATTGGTCGATTTTGCTGACTATTGCACCCACAGGATTCACTGAATTTAACAAAGTTTTAATTCATTACAATAATTACTATGTTAAGTAATTTTTAATTACTATACATTAATTCCTATTCAACATCTTGCATGTTTTTTCATAACATAAGCCATATTTCATTTTTTGAAAAAATATTATTAAGTTGCCGTATATTATAAACTCAAGATAATAACATATAATTACCAAAAAAAAAGAGAATAACATATAAATAATTTATATTACAGTTACGGGCCATTGATATGAAAATATTTCAAAACAAATTTTATAGTAAAGTAAATGTGTAAATAATAATAATAATAATAATAATAATAATAATAATAATAATAATAATAATAATAATAATAATAATAATAATAATAGAAATCCCAAAGAAAAAAAAATGAAACCGCCAGTAAATGGAAAACAATGCGCCAAGCAAATTAGAGATATTAAGAATACATAAACAAATAACATATGAATATAAGAATAAGGAAAAAAATGATAATTTGATTTTGACAGGAAACTTATAATTAAAAAAATTTCGGAATTTAAACAAAAAAGTGTGCAGTTAGGGGGCACGTAAGTTAACGTACCCTCTGAGTGTGTGACAACAATTTATAAAATAAAAAACCATATAAAATTTTATTTTTTTATTCATATATTTATATTTTTATTATTTTAAATTCACGTAATAATATGCCAGTGAATTCAATATCATGGTGGAAGTGTAAGTCAACGAAATAGTATAATAAAGTGTATCCATCATAATTAACGTCATGATAATCCTCGAATCTTCATTATAAAACTATAATTATATTTCTTAATCTCGAAAAAATAATAAACAACAAGTCCCCGACGGCTAAAGCCAGATATAAATGTTACGGTCACAGTCTCCAAAGTCTGAATCAACCAACCAATCACGTACTCACGAAATAAAAAATACATAAATAAATCCATAAAATATTTTTATAACCATAAGGTCCGTAACCATAACCATTTACATTTCATCATTTTTTTCACTCTTAGAAAATCACACCCACTTATTTTATTATTTTACTTCCCCTTACAATTTTTTATTATTTAAATCTCTCTCTCTCTCTCTCTCTCTCTCTCTCTCTCTCCGTTTATATAAACCACCGGTCCGATGGGACATATCTATCTCCCTGAGTTGTTTTGTACCATTAGTCTCTCTCTCTCTCTCTCTCTCTCACCTGCAAACAATGTCGGGAGCAATAAGCTGTTCGGCCATAGACCTGTCCTCGTTGCTCGGCCCGAACGGCACAGCAGCGGCCGACTACATATGCAGCCAGTTCGGGTCGGTGAACACAAAGTTCACTGACGCGTCCTACGCCATAGACAACACCTATCTTCTCTTCTCGTCCTACCTCGTATTCGCCATGCAGCTAGGGTTCGCCATGCTCTGCGCTGGTTCTGTCCGAGCCAAGAACACCATGAACATCATGCTCACTAATGTCCTTGACGCAGCCGCCGGCGGTCTCTTCTACTACCTCTTCGGCTACGCCTTCGCCTTTGGGTCTCCTTCCAATGGTTTCATTGGAAAACACTTCTTCGGCCTCAGGTCTTTCCCCACCTCTTCCGCCGATTACTCTCATTTTCTTTACCAATGGGCTTTCGCCATCGCTGCCGCCGGAATCACCAGTGGCTCGATCGCGGAACGGACTCAGTTCGTCGCGTATCTTATCTACTCGTCGTTCTTGACCGGGTTCGTCTACCCAGTTGTGTCCCATTGGTTCTGGTCCGCGGACGGGTGGGCTAGTCCAATTAGGTCCAATGGTGACTTGCTGTTTGGGACCGGAGCCATCGATTTTGCTGGCTCAGGTGTCGTACACATGGTCGGAGGAATCGCCGGTCTCTGGGGAGCTTTGATCGAAGGCCCGAGAATCGGACGGTTCGGAAGCGGAGGCAGCGCCATCGCCCTCCGTGGCCACTCCGCATCGCTCGTCGTTCTCGGTACTTTCCTCCTGTGGTTCGGTTGGTACGGATTCAACCCTGGTTCGTTCCTCAAGATCCTCAGTCCGTACAACTCCTCCGGTTCATTCTACGGACAGTGGAGCGCGGTTGGTAGAACCGCGGTCACGACTACTCTCGCCGGCTCCACGGCGGCTCTGACCACTCTGTTCGGGAAGCGTCTCCTCTCAGGCCACTGGAACGTGACCGATGTCTGCAACGGTCTCCTTGGCGGGTTCGCGGCCATAACCGCGGGTTGCTCGGTGGTTGAGCCATGGGCTGCGATAATCTGTGGATTCGTGGCAGCCCTGGTCCTCATCGGCTGCAACAAGCTGGCCGAGATGTTGAAATACGATGACCCGCTCGAGGCAGCTCAGCTCCACGGCGGGTGCGGAGCCTGGGGCCTGATCTTCACGGCCCTGTTCGCGACCGAGAAATACGTGGAGGAGGTGTATCCGGGAAAGCCGGGGCGGCCGTACGGTCTGTTCATGGGAGGAGGAGGGAGGTTGCTTGGAGCGCAAGTAATACAGATCCTGGTGATAGTCGGATGGGTAAGCGCCACGATGGGGACGCTGTTTTACGTGTTGCGAAAGTTAGGGCTGCTGAGGATATCGGCGGAGGACGAGATGCAGGGGATGGACATGACGAGGCATGGAGGGTTTGCTTACATGTATTCTGATCATGATGGAGATGTGTCTCCTAAGGCGATTCAACTGAGGAAAGTTGAACCTGCTTCCACATCTCCCGACACTCCGGTCTGATTTTCTAGATTCTGTTTTTCGTTTTTTTAAATGTTTTGGCCACTTTTTTTTGTTTGTTTGGGGAAATATGTAATTTATAGATTCTGTTTTTCGTTTTTTTTTTATAAATGTTTTGGGCACTTTTTTTTGTTTGGGGAAGATCTGTAATTTATAGATTGTGTAGTGGTCTTTATGTGTTGAAAAATGTTGTCTCTCTTGTTTCAATTTCGTAAATGAATAATTGAAAAGCAAATATGTGAGAGATCATATATATATATATATATATATACACACATGATGAATGGCAGAATGATTGTATTGTATGTGAGGTTATGATATATAATCCAACTATTCCGAAAGATTCAATCGTCGAATTACCAGTGTTTCTAGTTTATTTTTCAATATTAAATTCATTTTTCGCTGTATTAAAAAATCTTATTAAAAGACAAAATGAAAAAAAAATCATTTGTAAGTACCAAATAAGGTACGGTTTGTAAAATGTAAAATGTAAAATGTTATGCCAAATCCGTAAATATATAAAAATATAGGGGTATCATGTCAGTTAAATAAATTACAATCTCCGGTTGATGGGCCTAGACATGAAAGTGTGGGCCGGCAACTCCAAGACATTCGTCGACAGAAACAAAGATGTTGTTTAAAAATTAACATGAAAAAAGAATTATTTATCCTAATTTTTTTTCTTAAAGTTAAAGCATTAAACGGGCCCGCATTCCCATAGTATGGGAAGATTTTTGCTACGAACGGAATCGTATGAAAATAAAACCCATGAAATTTCCGTCAACTAAACCAGTGAATCGTCGGTCCATTAGAAATCACACGGTAAGCATTATAAGTAATCCATGAGATATACTATGAAATTTTTTTCCTACTAATATATATATATATATATACATATGACATTTTTTCCTACTAATATATATATATATATATATGAAATATATATATAAATTTTTTTAATCTTTTAGACTGATAATCTTGTTATTTTCAAATATTTTTCGTTTAGCAATGAAAACATTACGGTATTACATCAGAGTAAACTTGTAAAAATTCGAACAATATTCTCCATAAATTTCGATGGGTTTCATCTGTAAAATCTGGTAACAAGGGAGAAGAAAAAATGGATAGTTTGGTGGAAACTTCCTTTTGAGCTCTTCACGTTTTCTTTTTTTTTTTTTTGATAAATCTAAAGTTTTCCGAACTTTCGACCCGACTACATCTCTCAAAATCTGGAGGCAGCTTGTGTACTGCAAACCGGACCTTCGTTCTCAACCTGCGGCTCGAACATAAGACATGAGACAAGGACACCCCATCAGTCGACCTAAAAAAACCCTAGATCCATAAACCAAACAAAAAACGACGTAAATTTTATACAAAATGTAAATTCTTTATAATTTCTAAACATTATCGCAGTTCGTGAGCCATACATGGCGAGTTTATTTTTTTTTATTATTGTTATTTATATTTACATGGTGAGTTTATGAATTGAATAATTTGTTAAAGTGGATAATGCACGGAATTAAATTTGTAGTGATGAATGATTAATTTGGTGCGGCTAATTAATGGTGGTTGGCATGTCCAATATTGTTGTATGAAAAGCAGCTTTCTTTTATATGTTGTGGCAATTTTCGGTTGGGATTTGATGATGTTAACATGTTGGGAGATGTGAACGTTTACATGTTATAAGATTCCATATTAAAGATATTGTATATAAAGAGACGTAGATATGAACTACAAAATAATAATAATAATAATAATAATAATAATAATAATAATAATAATAATAATAATAATAATAATAATAATAATACTCTTCTTATATTACAAATGGCAATGGGTCCATGCAATGCAATCTATGTTATGTATGGAAAGGTGAATTTTATATCTATTTCAAGTGATTAAGAAGATGCTATCTATAACATATAAAATATAATAGGAAAAAAATATGCGCATTAAATTGTTTCATGATTTAGTCACAAAGTTTACAACTTTTCAAAATTTCTATTGAGTTTTCGAATCGAATATGAAATCTATAATAAGATGTAAGAGATAAGATCCAATATTGGATTGCTTAACCGTTAAGGAATGAAGCAAAATTCCTTTCTAATTCGGGTTCGAGTCCTCATCTGGAGAGGGCCTATTCACATGAGCTTCTCCGGTCTTCTGGAAGATATAATGGAGTCAAAGGTCCGATGAATTTCTAAATTATAAAAAAAATGTAAAAGATGCGGGATTAAAAAAAATATTGGTCATTGTTTTTATCGTTTGGTGTGGTAGATGATAGATATTTGAGTAGAATATTGCATGATAATTGTTATTATTTGAGTAGAATTGTTATTATTCAAAATTTTGAAATACAACATATAAAGATAAAGATAATTCCTGCAGTCTCTCTCCTAAACTATAGACAATTTGGAATTTGAATGTTTAAATGAGTCACCTCTAGAAATAATATTTTGGAATTACAATATTATTTTATTGTTTGGAATAGTTAGAAACAAATATTTCTAGTTTCGCTTATATTTTATTTAATTTATTTTTGGATTCGATTTTTCCTATTTTGTAAAAAAAAACTATACCCATTTGATTTTTAAAATTTTATTTGGATATAATTTTCGTTGAAAAGGTACTTGTTTTCATCCTATTTTTTTCGGTATTTTCTATATTCAAGTATGATTCAGTTATTAGATCTAACACAGTTTGTACACTATATTGTTATTGGATTTAATTCTATCCAATCCAATTTTGTATATTTAAATGGAAATATTCACGCCTAATTAACACATTCAATTATACAAACACATAAAAAATCTCAGTCTATATTATACACAAAACATAATAAACAAAAGAAAAACGGGGTGTAGCACTGATTAAGAAGAAAAAGAATCCACAAAAAACAAAACCCCACGTTCCTCGGGCAGTTCACGAGAAAGCAAAAGAGCCTTGAGACAAAAGCCAAAACACGATGCTTAAGTCATGATCTCATTATTACGTGTAATTGTTTTTGTCTCTTTATACAAATTATTTGACAATTATGACCAAAACACGTGATTTCCTTTCCTTTTTCTCCCCTTCAAGTTTACATGAACATTTCTATGGAACGAAAAATCTAGACAATTTAGAAATCTAAACACTACATGTGTGTGTGTATATATATATATATATCAGAAATCTAGGGACTTAAATATTTTTTGCTATTAGAAATCTATGGACAACATATGAGATATGAATACTCTATTTATATGTTGCGTGTAATTTGCAGTAAACCCGAAAACTAACTTAAATAATTGTTTATATCATATAATATATAGCTCATAAGGACGTAAATTTGTCCACTATATTAAAACATAGAACACCATAGTATATACACACATGAAAAAAACAAGGATTCTTTGAAAATAAGTATAGGTTTTGTTCCTTCCAAAATCGAAACTCGGATAAAGAACAAAAGGGTTTCCTTTCTACAAGATGATGATCATTTTATTCGATTCAATCCAATGGAAATAAAAACCAAAATTAAACGCGAGATCCAAGATTGAGTGTCTCAACTGGTAAGGAGGAATAAAGCTACTTTCCAATCCATGTTCGAATTTCTACTTGGGAAAGGTCATTTATCCGAGTTTTTCCGGTCTTTTGAGAAATATAATTGGACCAAACACTCGGTGAATTTTTGAATTATAAAAACAATAAATAAAAACAAACGCATGTATCTATTTCTAATGAAATTATGAACCGTGAATTTATATATAGTAAACAAGATTTTGCAGACTATTATTATCACAAGGAGGATCCGAGGAAGAGAAAACCTATAGAATCTAAAAATATACAGAAATATAATAATAATTACTATGGGAGGAAACTTTGGTGAGTAGAGGAATGGGTCCATGTTTAATTGCATGTGACCAACATTCAAAGCCCCCACCCATTAATGCTGTATATGTTGAGACTTCTTTCATTATTCTCTTTCTTGTCGTTTTCCCCCCCTCTACTGCTTGAGTAATTTTGGCATCAACTTCACCAGGTGTATTAACTCATGTACTATATGGAAAAAGTTACCATGGAATGTTGATGTTTTTTACCGAGTGAATTTCTTGTTTTTTTTTAACTATGGTAGTGTGAAAAGACAAAAAAAAAGGTGAAAATAATTGTAATTAGAAGATTTTGGACAGCATGTATAAATACATACCTGCAAGTGTCAAGGGGTGTGATTCCTGCAAGGCCACAGAGTGGAGCTTCTTCACTCACAATAATGAGCTCTGTTCATTGAATGAACGTCTCCTCCTGTCAATCAAAAACCCACAGAGATTGCTCTCTTTTCAGACATTCTTTTTTCGGATGAGATTCTGAAACAACACTATTTTCAGAAGCTGTTGGACAAATCCGTAATCTTCCATGGGAGGATACACAAGCAAGCAAGATGGGAGCAGTGGGAGATGGACCGAGGGGACATCAAGTGAAAGAAGAATGAGAACCAAGAGAGGAGAGAAAGGTGAGAGAGAGGTTATGGCCATGGCGATGGAGGAGGCAGAGACAGAGTGGAGGAGAGAGAGGAAGAGGCTGAAGGAGGAGGTGAAGACGCTGAGGAAGAAAGTGGAGGAGAAGGAACAAGTTAAGGCGGAGCAGAGAGAGTGGGAGTGGGTGGTCGGGCAGATGTGCGTGGAGAGAGCTGTCAAGGACGAGGCCGTGGAGAGGTGGAAGAAGCTCTATCTGGCTATCAAGAACGAGCTTGATGATCTCATTCAGAGAACTTATGGTAATTCTCTGAGTTCTTTCTTTTCTTTCATCTTAATCTTGATGCATAAAGTTATGGATTTTTGAACTGGGAAGTTAATGGGTTTGTAGGACAAGGGTTGCACCAGAGACCCGAGGAGGAAGGTGAAAAGACAATACAAGAACTCAGACAGCAACTGAAGGTAAGGGAAGAAACCATTGAGAGGCTCAAAGAGAGAATAGCTTTAATGGAGAAGCAACAGTATGGCAAAGAAAGAGAGATTGACATACTGAGACAGAGCTTGCGAATCATCAGCAATGACAGCACCGGGAAGAAGAAGAACAAGAAGACGTCTTCATCTCGTTCTACTAGAAACCTGCGGATATTCAAAAACACGTGTAAATAACTGATATTCATCTCAATAACCTCTTCAAGGAAGTGCAGTACAAGTAGGAAAGCTAAGTACAATGTAATACAATTCCTTTCCCCATCTCAGGGAATATATCTTCACATGTGAAATATGCTAAGTATCAACCAAAACTCCATGAAAGTAACCCGTTTCTTCCTCAAACTGACTGTATAATAGCAAAAGGGCAACAAGGAAATGCATCAAAGTTGCAACAGTCCTAAAACAAAGAGAAAAGCTCAGAGTTAGGAGGAACTCTGGGATTGGGATTACTTACTTCCACTTCCACTGTAGCTGCACTGTTAAAAAGCTCATGCATACATGGAGATGCTCATGATCCTTCTGATCCACAACCTATGTTTTCCTGCATGGTTTCTTTGAGCATTTACATGCACAAGAGACAGAATGTCCAAATTCCATTATAAATTAATCTTAGGAGCATTTCTTGAACTGTAAAGATAGCAAGTAAAAGAGTAAGAGATGTCACCAACATCCATACACTTTAAAACTATTTGAGAACTTCCACAGTGAAGTTTTATATACCCAAACCCTTTTTCATCCTCCTGAAATCTGTATATATGTTTCTGTCGAAAGGATTCATACGCAGATCATATCGTCCTCTTGCTGTTGTCCGGACAACTAATAAACAGAAAAATGTATTTTTTTTTCCTCCTGAGCTGTACAACTATTTTCCTAGACCAGTGAGAGAGAACCCATATACAGTACGGATGCCGTAACAGCCAGACTCCAAATGATCAGATGAACCTCAGACCTGGCGTGTTGATTCAACTGTGGTCTTTACACCGCCTTCAAGCATTTCAACAGTTTGGTAATATGATTTCACACTCTGAAAAGTAGCAACAAATTTCAATCATGATCAGAGATCGGAATAACTTGTACAGGATAAAACAGGCCCCGTCTGAAAGGGGCCATCGTTGTCAAAGTGTTTCTATTGTACAAGCCATAAGAATCATGTTTGTTTCGAGGTCACAGAACGTGCAAAAGGGATGGGGGTCCTGCAGGATTTTCTAACTACTTCGTGAGCAATTACTTTGGCAGACAACATAACGTACCTCTAGCAATGTAATGTAGTAGAAGTCCTCCATGTGTTGCATAAGGGCACTCCCATCACGTATAGCGTTGAATATGCTTATTTCCGTTTGCAGTATCTTCTCAATGAGCTCCTTCTCACCTTTCATCTGAAAGATAAAATCCGTTGGGGGTAAGCTTCAGCGTATCACTTAGATTCTTGATCCTCTAACATTTTTCTCATAAGTGATTTCCAGCAATAATGTTTACATCTACCAAAGTATAGAAAAAGCTGTAATATACATATATACATGTATATATATATCTCACAAGCAATCTTTGTCAGAGTTTCTGAATCCGATGAAAAACTAAAAAATGAAAAGGAATATCATCACGCCATAAAACACGAGGAACTGAGCTTGGAGTTCATAATTTCATATGTGAATATATCTGCGAGCATGAGTATGTATGAACCAAAGCAACCAAAATGTAAGCCAGTGAATATAAAAAAAATGAAAATTGCAAGCGCAGATAAATAAATAAACCCAAAAATGTTACAGACCAAATGAAAGTGAACAGAATACGAGACGAAAAATCATGTGATAAGAGACTTACAAATTCACTAACAAGGATATCTGGTGTGGCTTCCCCAATCACATCACCATGGTAACCATCTTTCTGAAGCTCCATGCTCTCCTGCAACATTGACTCAATCAACAGTACTCACAGGTAGAGAAACTAATGCACTATGTATTCAACACACAGAGAATTTGCAATAGAAAAACTTACCAAGGTGTCTCTTAAACCTCCAGCACCTAGATAAACAGGTTGTGCCACATGGCAGTAACCCATCAAGCGAGGGACGGTGGGAATTATGTCTCTATGGTTTACAACTCTCCAGCTGTCCTTCACTTTCTGCAGATGTCTCTCAATGCAAAATTTAGTAATCAGCGAGATACCATAATGATGCTGTTGAAAAAGTCCAACTTGTGGATCAATTTATTGTTCAGTAAGGAAGAAGCAAGTATTACCTGATTATATACATCGGCAAATCTTTTGTTGCCCACTCTAGGTGATCCAAAGTTATACATTGTAACAGTGATAGTTCCTTGCCTGCAATGGAAAATCATGTTTCGTCAATGGAGTCTATCGATTGCAGATTGGGGACAGGGTCAGACGTGCTCAAACTACTCACTTAGCTAATTGACTTGATGCAAGCTCAAGAGCCAATAGTGTAGCCAGTGCGCCACCCAAGCTATGGCCAGTCACATAAACATGCCACTTATATGGAGGCTCAGCAACATTGTCTCTGTCAGGAGAGGGAGAGGGCAAACACAAAATAAACAGCAAAAGTCCAAATTTCAACACACTTCAAAAGGTTAAAAGTCATCCAATATTTTGTGCACATGAGAGTTTTATCTATATGGTGGCTTTATCTATAGAAAGGGGATGCTCCAAGAAGAAGATTGCAGCCTTTTCCAGTATCTAACAGGTATTTTCTTCCCAGCACATGAGGTGAAGCCACCAAAAAGAGGTATGGAAAAATTCACAACGCAGTAGAAACCAAAATGAAACACAAAGAAGCACCTACATGTAGCCAATTGCCAGTTTCAGCAGAGAAATGATCCTTATCCTTACTGAATCATACGCACTCAGAAATCCACTATGAACCTGCAAATTCCACAGGAACAACTCAGAATAACTGCCTAGAGGTTACACCTAATCATTCGACAAAAAGCTATAACATCAGCTTTTATATATGTACCTGCACTTCTTGCTTGAAGTCTCCACCAATTCTTTCAGGATTCAGACTGCAATTTTTATCAAGACTTTGTATTCAGAGAACAGAACTCCTATAGCAACAACTGGCTCACACATTTATATGATGATGTTTTCATGCAGAGCTACCTAATCAACTTAAATCCTTTACATCGTGAGGATGATTATACAGTGATCACAAAATGTATCTCGCTTTGCTTCATACCCGTCTGAAAACTGACCATTGTGCCAGTCAGAGAACATTTCAGAAAGATACTGAGACATTTTCTTCACTGGAATCCCAATCATCTTGGTTTGTAAATCCAGAGATACTGATAAATGTAGATAGTGAATTAAATACAGAGAGACTTACCCAGCAGGAACTAGCATCAGATCAGTCTGCAAATCTTTCCATTTTGTCTGACAAATATGAAAATATTAACCATTATCAAAAGTCAAGTATCAACTACAGAACATAAAAACATACAGATACCACCTACTTGTTCAGTTCCTCTGAAAGCAATAACCAATCTTTTCCTCATTGAATCACGCCAAATTGCCACCTGCAGCTCGCCATTAGTTGGTTAAAAATATAAATCTATTCTACATGCACATCGTATTTCCAGGGATTAAATCTTTTGTCCCTGAAATCATGCAATTGCTAATAACTCGAGCCAGTTGGTAGAAGATAGAAATTTCACCTGTGTGTCAGTGATGTCATTGTCTAGGAAACATATTTTCTCAAATTCTGATTTTATAAAGCTTGGATGCCCCAGTGCAGTGGCAAGCATTGCCCATGCCTCCATGGCACTTTCTGCACTTTTAAAGAGTGCTTTCATTTCCTCAGCTTTCTTCTCATCTAATGCATCACCATTCACTAGCCCAGATAGTTTTTCGCTCTTAGAGGAACCAAAGACATCTTTTTTTCCTGAACCAAGTCTACTGTTGCTCAATTGTGGCACTGCAGCTTTTAAAACCATTAATGCGCCTAAGACGTTATCGGTTTGCTGCAGTAACTCTTGTGTTGCCTTCTTTATGTCAGGAAGGGAAGGTTTAGTGGTACTAATCGATTGTTGGCCACCTTCACTTTTATCATCAACTTCCTGAATATTTGGAGCTGCAAGCCCTGATTCAATATAACTTGCTTCTGCAATTTTCCGTGACTGCAGACCAATATTTTCCAGAATTTCCGCTCCATCCCATTTAAATTTTTCAGGTGACGGAAGACCAAGTTTCTGGGCTATATTTTGATTGACCACATTAGCAAAATTGCTCCAGAAATGTTTTTCTGATCCATCTTTGTCATCCTCCAATTTCTTGGTGTGGCCATCACCATTGACATCGCTATCTTTGTCCTCACTAAACTTCCCTGAACTGCTTATATCAGAACTGCCCTCCTGATCCGGTGTATCATCTGAACTATTACTACCAGATTGCACATCCATTACTGGAGAATAATCATCAGAATTGTCTTCACCTTTTGAGCCATCTTTATTATTGCTTAAAAGTTTAGCATTCTTAAGAGGGCCATCATTCAATGACTTTAACTGCCCGAAAGCATACTCTACAAATTGCCGAGCTGGGACAGCGTCAGAGTCAGCAAACTTTCTCAGAACAGACTCAAATTCATTTCTTCGGAGGAATTCTGAAATGAAAGGGATCTTCCACCACTTCTTTTCTTCTTCAATTTCCTTAAATCCCTTGTACCTAATCTGGAATTTTAAACCTGATGAATATAAGATGCTTCAACTCGAATTACTAATCTATGGGTTTAACATATGTAAACAAGTCAACTCCACAAATTTAGGACTGCTATATAACTGATCTCTGAATAAATCAGTTATCACAGGTCCTATATCCTCTTGTCTAGGATAATACAGAACCCAAATCATGGCCATACGATTTCACAACTGTGCTTCAAATATGTTAGGCCTGCATGATTTCACCTGCTTTTTTGAATGTAGGAGCATGTTGTTTCAATGGAAATTAAGATGATTCTTTCACTCAACAGAAGAATCTAGGATAATCTATTTACCAGGGTTTTACACAATATTTCAGAACGAGAATAAAGAACTCTATAAAAAAACTGACCTCTAGCTCTATTTTCCCACCACCTCCAATTCCTTCCAATTCGATGAGCACCTCATGCAAGCTCCCTTGGAAAGCAAGAAAACAAAAGTTAAAGGCTTGAGATAGAATTTGCAAGTAAGACTTACAGCACATAGTCCAAATCACTGAATTTTGACATTAATTTACCAAATGGGGCCTATTTTTCTTTCACCAATTATTATCTTAGAATTACACCAAGTAGCATAACTTTCCTTTTATTCAACTCAAAGTGAAATGAAGAGAATAATTCTTACCATCAGATACAGATTCCAGAATAACGTCAGCATTACCCATCCGTTTATGTGGAGTAACAAGATTCGCATCCCATGCTGCAACCTGAAGTTCAGTGATAATTTTCCAGGAAGACATGCAGGGCCATGTAAGAAGATATCAGACAGAGTGACAGAAATAGTTACATTGTTCATATATGCAAGTTTCCGCTGATAAAAAAATGCTTGTTATTTCAATCTTGAATGGACAACATTAATTGCAAGAATATTTGACCTGAAGATTTTTGGCAGGAGACAGCTTGATATTAAAAATGAAGTCCTCATTCCATTTTGGCTCTTTTGTCCTGTCAATAACATATAGATCAAGCACAAATTATTTACATTAACCGGGTTAGTGAGACTGACATTTAATATTGACGAAAATATGGTAGGACTTCTAAGGTTCACAGTTTCCGAACAAAACAAAGCACTGCTTCAAACATTTACGAGAAAACCATGGATATTCAGTCAGTGGCAGACACCAGTCAATACTCAAGCAAGAAAGTATCTTTTGAGCTTCACGGCATAGATCTGTTCATCTCATTTAGTGGGAGAGAACACATCGGTAAACTTTCCAATACGATCAGACCAAATATTGCTGAAACGACTAGATCGACATATCCATTTGTAAAACAAAAACATGACTGCTCAAGAAATACAAGTGCGAGAAAGCATAACCAACTTGCCCCCATTTGATTTTGCTCTTGGCAACTTGACCACCCAAATCCATAACAACATAAGGATCGCTAGTTCCCTGAAGAGGAGAACAACAGAAATAGCTTGCTCAATGCAATAAAAACATAAAGAATAAATAGTTAAGGCGAGGTTTCAATGATCTTTAAAACCCACCCATGGATCCAAGGCAGGAAAGTTGAATCCTTTTTTCAGCTTTATGAACAATTGCCCATCGTATATCTCCCTCACAAATGACCTGAACAAGTATGCAGCTTTCTCATAATGTCCAAGACCGAAACTTGGCAACGATAAAATAAAATAAAAAAATTCGGAATTGAATGATTCGTATCATGAGACAAATGTGACATACTCAGAGAGGTACACAGTTTTACAACCAGCAGCATCAACCTCTCGCTTCCCTATATTTTCCTGAGAACCAAACAGAAACAGCATATCGAATTGCCCAAGAAAATTCCCCAAGGAGAATCGAAAGAGAAGTAGGAAAATTTACTGGAGGAGTAGTGTAGGCCTCGAAAGCGAAACCGGCGAGGATTACGGCGAGATTGATATCGAAAGGAGGTCGTTCCTCTTTAACAGCTCCTTCCTCTTCGCCTCCGACAACCAAATCCTGAGCATCGGTGCCGGCGAAGCAGGGAAAGGAACAAGCTTCGTTTCTGGGTCCGAAACTTTCCGGGAAAGCGAGAAGCTTGATTTTCCCGGGAAATGGAAACGACGGTTGCCGCCGGCGAGGAGGAGAAAGGATTTTGGAGCAGCGAAGACGTTGTCTTGGACAGAGGAAGTGGACGCAGAAGTGAAATTGCAGAGAAGCCATGGCCGCAAGAGGAAGAAGCAGAATTCACGAAATTTCTGGAGATTACTCTTCAGTTCATTCCATGGTACTGTATACAAATTGGTGACTTCTTTTTCTGACAGTGAAATAAGCAAATGTTTTATGCATTTTCAAAATTTATTTATCTCTATCAATAATACAAATTTATTTATCTTTACCAATAATTAAAACCTTCCACCGACTTAATCCACATTTAATCTACCTAGAGTCATTATTTACTCGGGCACAATTGATTTAATCGCATCCCTTTTCTCGTCTCCACCACTAGAATCGAACTTCGATCCACTTAATCATCTCGATCTAGAATCAGTTTTTAGTTACTACTATTGAAATCAAGACTTTTGACATGACTTTATCATCTCTTAATCACTGGAAAAAACTCGGAAAAATGCAATAAAAATCATCCAGCATATTTTTTTCTGCTGTATGAAGCATCAGATTGCTCAAAAACATATGGTGGAATCCATGGAAGAAGTAGAAAGCTGTCGCAATATTTTCCCAATCTCTCCCCCAAACAAAAAAGCACGTGGAAGAAACAAACTAGAAGCATATACATATGATGCAAACCGTCCGTACAAAAACAATTGTTTCAGTATACTATTGACATGAAATGCTGAGGATTGTTCAATTCAATACATATAATGTAACAGTACGTACCAAATAAAAAAAAAACAAAAACTGAACACTCAAAATTATCCCAATCTTTTAAAAAAAAAAACTATATTATATTTGCTTCAAAACATTGTTCTTCTTCCTTGATCATCATCATCTCTCTTCTTAAAGATGTGGAACCAAAACGTCCACAGGGATTTGCATTTTGCAGAGCCCCCTCCCCCCCACGGCCCACCCTTATGTTCCTCAAAGCCAACCAGACCAAGAAAAAAATTTTCGAATCCAAGAACCGATCGAACGAACCCCCACCTCCCAAACAATGGAATCTTGTGACGCAAGAAACGGAACGACGCTCCATGCAGGGCCATGTAAGAAGATATCAGACAGAGTGACAGAAATAGTTACATTGTTCATATATGCAAGTTTCCGCTGATAAAAAAATGCTTGTTATTTCAATCTTGAATGGACAACATTAATTGCAAGAATATTTGACCTGAAGATTTTTGGCAGGAGACAGCTTGATATTAAAAATGAAGTCCTCATTCCATTTTGGCTCTTTTGTCCTGTCAATAACATATAGATCAAGCACAAATTATTTACATTAACCGGGTTAGTGAGACTGACATTTAATATTGACGAAAATATGGTAGGACTTCTAAGGTTCACAGTTTCCGAACAAAACAAAGCACTGCTTCAAACATTTACGAGAAAACCATGGATATTCAGTCAGTGGCAGACACCAGTCAATACTCAAGCAAGAAAGTATCTTTTGAGCTTCACGGCATAGATCTGTTCATCTCATTTAGTGGGAGAGAACACATCGGTAAACTTTCCAATACGATCAGACCAAATATTGCTGAAACGACTAGATCGACATATCCATTTGTAAAACAAAAACATGACTGCTCAAGAAATACAAGTGCGAGAAAGCATAACCAACTTGCCCCCATTTGAACGCTCTATATGGCTCATTTCGGATATTACAGAATGGCGAAACGAAAGAGAGATGTAACATACGCATCATCAGATAAGCTTGCTCGTCCTTCTTCTCGACGGCCCTCCCGGGAAAAGCTTCATGATCCATCCTAGAACTCGTTCCACTACCTAACAATTCCATATAGAATAAAAAGATTAAAAAGAGAGACATTATTAACGAAAACCCTAACTGGTTCGGTTTTACATAACACGATCCAATATAAAAACCCTATTTCTAAAACCGAGAAACCAAACCTGAATCGAATCCAACTAGAAAAATAAGCGAAAAATAAAAGCTTTCTTTGGAAAATGAACATTTTTATCAATGAAAACTGAGCTTGAACCAAGACTGAATCAAATCTAATATAAAACCGAAAACCGAAACCACACCCCAGTCGAAAACCGAAATACCCTACCCCTAGACACTGTTTGATGATCTTCTCGGTTGCGATTTTGGATATCATTTTTAACTATAGTGTAAGAAAGAGTACCTCGTCACCCTCATCTGCGATCGGTGTGATCTCATGAGCAAGATGAGAATCTGGTTGCTTTGTAGATGTAATGTTGCTGATAGCCATATTCTGCGCGGTTAGAAGCTCTAGTCTCTGAGTCTGGATTTCGAGTTTTCTGGATAACTCTTTGTTCAATTCCTACAATTTAGCAAACACCGAAAAAAGAACATGAGAAACAGAAATGAGAGAATGGATTAGGAAAACAGTGTTATTAAAACATAACAAAGCTACAAATGCTGTTTACACACAGTCAAGAACATAGGTCGTGTGTAGATATTAAGAGTGAAATGGCACGGTAAGACCTTGAAGTCATAAGGGATAGACATAATCTCATGAAAAATAAGTTCGGATTTTAAGAATTGGATACATAATCTGTGAAATAAAAGCTCTTACAGAAATAAAATAAGACAAATATTCAGCTTATTGAAACACATCCATTTTGAGAGATACGGTTCATGTTCACATACCTTCAGCCGAGCAGTTTGAGAAGACTCAGCTGACAATGCTTGCATCAGTTCGTCTTTCTCCACAGCCAACTATCGCCACAAACACAAACATTTACCACCTTAACAGGTTGCATATGCAAAGTATTGGTCCAAAAATGTAATCTCACAGGCAACAAAAAATTTCATTGAAAATAACCTCTTTCTGTCACACTACCTCGGTAATCAGTGTGTTAATGTTCTGAACCATTCTCATATGATCAGGTGGGATGCTTAAAGAAGACCCCTCAAGAGCTAATTGATCTCTATCAGGGGCCATAGTAGTAAATGACGAATCACTTCCAGATTGAGTCGTAGCATGTGTTTCCTGGTTGAAATTCTCCAGCACATTGTCCGACATTGCTGCACCGAGCAAACAAAAAAGGGAAAATTAAAAGCGTAGAATAACAACACAAGTATACAGATCCAGGAGAAGACCTCAGCTTATGGACCAAAGTTTACATAGGCATGATAAGTATTAAGTATCATTCGGTAGATGAAGTTTTTTCTTTTCCATTCGTAAATTGAATTCATAGATGTTGTTCAATTTTAGAAGTTTTGGAAGGATTATAAGCTTGACCATCGACATGGATGAATGGTTTGAATTTCTTCTTGAACATGTTACTATATCGAGCTCCATTACCTAAATCTTCTGTAGAAGTTGATGCCTCTTTTCTACTCGTAGGGGCTTTGCCAAGATCAACTGATTTTCCACTGGGGGAAGCTTTACGCAGCATGGTCTGCAATAACTTCTTCTCTGGAAAAAAAGTAAAAGAAGACCAAAAGTTAAGCATGAAAAATAGAAATTGTAAAATAACATAACTAGCTGCAGAATAGTATTAACATGCCAACCTTCCTGAAGGGCATTAATTGAAGATTGCAAGTCTTGACGATCTTTCTCTAGACTAGATATTTTTTTCCTGTATACATCAAATGTACATTAAAAAAGTGGATCAGGAAATATGTATCCAAAATCTTTAGGTCCCTTTATCTAGTATGCTGGTGTTCAGTTTGGAATAAACATCTCATAAAGGTGAAGACAAACAAATTAAATAACAGGAGAGTCCGAACCATACTTGTAAGACGACATTTCTGCTTGCGCATTCTCCAATTCTCTCTCCAACTTTAACTCATTAGATCTGAGTCTTAGCGCCTAATTCATGTCCCAATAAAAAAAAATAAACATCGAAGGCAATAAATAATAGCATATGAAAGGTAGAGAAAGAAAGATGGCCAGCCAGATAACTAATCCAAAAAGTATAAAGAGTTTTACTAGTTTTACATATGTAATAATTGATATTAGAATAGTTCATAAAAGCCTTATACCTTATCTTCCAAACTAACGACTTCAGCAGCCAATATTTTGGCACGTTCATCAGCAGCATTGCACTCTAGTTGCGCATTTGTATACTCCATTCTCATTGACTCAAGTTCCACCTGTAAAGAAACCGTACTAAATCAAATATATTTGGCTTTGTAAAGTAATATCAACCACTTCCAAAATGATTCAGGGCAGGGCAAAAATCATGCAGACAAGAGATTCATCCACCATAGGACTCCCAGCTCAACATAAACTTCTGCAACTTGGATGAAATCATCACGCCACTCGGCATCATATGAATGGAGCAATATACACTCAAGGAAAAAATTAATCGCTAAGAGGAATTTGCACATGGAACTTGAAGACTCTAGGATGTTGATACGAACCATGTTTGCCTGGATCTGCTGCTGTAGCTTCTCCATCTCATCTTTTAGTTGGTTGACTATACTTCTCTGGATGAATCGAAAAGCATCACAAAAATAACAATCAGAAGAGTACTTGAGGAGATTTTAAACTATTACGTGAGTCAATGGACACCATTTCTTAACAAATAATGCAGGATACATCATGCATTGGCAATGGCAGATAAAGGTGTTATATTGTCAATCAAATAGACATCTTAGAGAACTTAAGCCCAGCTACCTAACAGTCATCTTCATCACACATGCAAGCAGCAACAATCTCTTTGTTCTAGAATTGTTTTAAGAATTTTAATCAAGAAAATGACACTTTAGAAGAGAGATTAAATGCCCTTGCATCCACATCATGAAATATAAAATCTTTGCATCTCGTATATATATCTAAAGCATAAGGAATAGCAATTCCTTGGAGAATAATGAAGCAGACTAGCACTATGAAAATACAATTTATGACAAACACAACAGAGATAATAATTCATAGCTGTTTTCTTAACATATGAACACAGCTGAGCATAATATTACAAATCCACATGGGATGCCTGATAGCATGCATGTACCTGTTGGTTATAAGTGTCAGTCAAGGATGAATTTTCCGAAGCTAGGGATTCTGCCAGGGCACGTGAGGCCTCAAGAGCCCTTTGCAATGAAAATTTTTCTTGTGTTAAGTCCTCAATATGCTACGGATGAAAAAATGAAACGATTTCTCAGCACATATACATAGTTAATGAATATAGTGTAGATACAAGAACAGTGAAAGCTAGCATCCTAAGTTTAGATAAAAGAAATATGAAAAACTATGAAGAATATAAAACTGCCAGTGCAACTGTGCAACAAATCCCATAATAATTTTACAAGCTATTTTTCCTTATATGACATAACTTCCCAATTATGTTGTCCTAAAGGGAAGACCAACACCATGTTTTCTCGTCTTTCCCGGATGATTCTTTTTAAAGACCATACCATGTTTTCTTGTTCTCAGTTTTCGCAACTAACCCAACATAACCTCTCATCTATTACGTGACATATAGACCAATGGATGAACAAAATGCTGCATGGGGAAGCAAAGTACCTGTTCAAGAGCAGCAAAATCTTCATTTTGTTTTGCCACAGGGAAATCACTGAAACTTGGGAAGGTTCCATTGGCTGCAGGAAACAAAGAACTCTGCGAACTTTCAAAACGATTAGTGAAAGTCGGTGCTCCCATTGCCGAGAATGGTCCATTGGTATCTTTCTTGCCCGTCAGATTCTGGAAATAAGCCAATCCAAGGCCATCACCTCCGGTTAGCTGGGACCCACCCGATGTGGTCAAACCTGCCTCAGCCTCAGCATGTTGATGCTCTGAAGATCTTGAGATATTGAGTGAATCAAGGAAAGATGGGCGAGATCTCCTGGCATTGTTTTCATTTTTAGCCGTGTAAACAGGAGAAGAGCTTCTGATATTCAAACTGAAATCTGAAGACTCGAAAGGCTGAGAGGATGTGTCCTGAAGACTAAACAAATAACTGGAAGATAGACTTGACTTTTGCTCCATGCTACCTTCGAGTTCAGAATTTCCCTGTCGGTTTTTCGCAACCTCAAAAATAGACCCTGTCATCTTGGTCGTAGGTTGTAGGGAACCTAGCAAAAAAGAAAAAGAAAGTAAAAGTAGCTCAGTTGTTCTGTCCCCCCTCCCCCTGAAGGAAAAGAAAAGTAGGGAACAGTATGCATTGTATCTCATGTGACAATGCCATACCTTCATTGGATGAGGTTAATCCACCGCCATAACTGAAACTCTCTGTTTGGGTCGAAATGCTTGGGAGTCTAGTGTTCCCAGGAAAAGGAGGAATGGGTTTGTTAACACCATCGCTTTCTCTTAGACTAAAACCACCATCATTACTCCGAATTCCCTGCTTGTCCATATTATACGGTATACCTTCAGGTTTTCTGGGCTCTGTTAAGTCATATAACGGACTTTTCATCTTTATGCTACCAGAAAAATCAACAGCGCCCACGGGTGGGGATGCATCATCTTTCTGGTTATATTCTTTCCTTTCATCACTTGTTGCTAAACTTGAAGATGATAAACCGTCCCCATCTCTAGAAGATGAGGATTTGCTATGGATATCATTTGAGGAAACTTGATGATTCTCAGCAGACAGCCCAACAGGTACATCAGACATGGATGTAACAGCTCCATCGGATTCTGAGGCACGTTGCTGTCCAATTTTGCTATCAACAGGCTGGGCACGGCTATTCGATGAAGCCTTTTTGGCTCGTTCGGCTGCTTTTTGCTTTCGGAACTGCTCCAGCTGAACCCATAAAAGTAAAAGCACAATAGAGGTTTTTAGAAGGTAATCAATCAGGTAACAATCATCTGATTCTGACGCATACAATATACTGTCCATACTCCATAAGCACACGCCAAAGGATATTCACATCCTCTCCCCTGTAGAACACATCTACTTTCTAAGGCCACCAAAAGATTCAAAAGAAAATTACATTCTCCGACAAACCAGATGCTGAGCCAAAAAAGAACAAAAAAAAAAAGCAAACCTTGGTTACGGCTTAGACACATAAGCCAGACCTCACCGTACAATCTCATTGTTAGATTATGAGAAGTATATCAAAATATCAATTCTAATTGCAAATATACCGGAACACCAATTCCGACTTGATCAATAATGGCACCAGACTTATCAAAACAACTGCGCAAAGACATAAACCCAGACCACAAACAAAATCTGAAGCATTTTATCGAATTACAAGGTTCAATTATGTTATTCAAAGAAAATTGGAGAATCCCATTCGGGGAAAACAATTTACCTTACGCCTTCCAGCTTCAGCGAGCTCCTGCTTCCGTGAACTCGGCAAAACCTGAGCTGATGCCATTGAATTTTACAGAATTTCACGGAAAAACAAAACCCTAGACGCTTGAAATCAGAACCCTTGAATTATCATTGAATCCGATAAGACATAACGAAACAATTTCGTCCCTTTTTCCTATCAGAAAACCCTAATCAATCAACGAAACCACCGATTTCGGAATCGAAAACTCGCCGCTCAAAAAATTACACTGAAACCAAGAACCAGGAGCCCAGATCCGCACGCAATGATCGAGAATGAAAAAAAATTGGACAATTTGAAAATTGAAACGAACGACAAGGATCTCGAAGAGGATTCAACGGTCGAATGAATTCTTCAAAAAAAAGAATAAAAAAGCAGATTGGCAAAAAAAATCTGCAAGGAAAATTCGGAACACGAGAGAAAGTTAAGGTTCCGATCCGATCGAAGAAGAGGAACAGAGAAACATGTTTGGTCGTCGGAACTAAAATTATAATATTTCCGTCTTCCTCTCCGCCAGATCTCTCTTATTTTCTGCTAATAATAATTTTTGTTTTTATGGTTCTAACGTATATGTTATGCTTCTCCCTCCGTACGGTAAATTTATTTTCCAAAGTTTTTTCCCCCATTTTTTGCCATTTTAGTTTATACTAATTAGTAATTAATAAACGCCATCTAAAATAATTATTGATTTTGATGAAAATTCGAGTCAAAATTAGCTTCTTAGATCCAAGATGATTAACGGGCTCTTACTCGTTACAACATTTGCCTTTTATATAAAAACTACTACGTTGGGGGTGATTCAAAATGTTCGGGTAATTTTGTATTAATTAAAGAAAGAATTCAAAAAAATATATCTTCACGGTCAATTTTTATATAACATAAAACCTAAATTTTTTTTGTTAATAAAAATTCAAACTTGATTTTTGAATTATAATTAAACTTAAATTTTATAATATTTATTATTTTTAAATTCATTATTGACGTGATATACCAATATCATGACATATAAATAATAACATATCAAATGTAGTCAATACATTGATTTACCAAATATGATATCGAAAGTTTATGTCAATATATAGGTTTAAAAACGACAACGATTATAAAATTTGAGTTTATTTTTAATTAAAAAATAAAACTAAAGATTTATTTGATAAAAAATAAATTTTAGATTCTATTTTGTAAAAATTGAGAAGTTTATTTATTTTTTTAGAATTTTTTCTTAATTAAATTAACTCTATATAGCTAACCATTTCTATTTCGTTTATTTTTACTTTCATTTTTAATTTTAAATCCATTTAAATCAATTTAATTCGATTTTATTGACAATTTTTTCGATTTTATCCGTTTGTTATTTATGTGTTCATTGTTCATGTAAAAGTCATTCAGTTTTTTTTTTGGTCATTTTATTGGGTAACAATTTTTGTTAATTGTTCACATTTTTTTACAAATGGGCAAAAATAGCCGTAATGATAAAAAAAAAATTGAAATCTTATCCATTCGCTCAAAATTCTGAAATCGAAAATTAAAACTTTCGACTATTTTTCATTTTTTCTTTAAGGCTAACACAATCTTTTTATTTTCTTACACGTAGAAAACAAACAAGGACAAAGACACGACATAACAATCGTAGACTCCACGTAACAAAAAACAAACAAAACAAAACTAATAATAATAATTAAATTACATCAGACAACAGAACAGAGCATTCGCAAATTCACAAAATCGGATCAACGACGAAGAAGAATCTTCTCCCTCACGCTCCCCAAGTAAGCAACCAACTCGTCGAACTCCGGCAAGTTTTCTCCGACCGCCGGAGATCGCCGGAATCTTGAACTCCAGGCGGTGAGTCGCGGAAGAGCCGCCGGATCAAGCAGAGTCTCCGGTCCCTGAAGCTTCTCCGCCGCCGGGATCCAATACGCGATGAATCCGTACACGATGTCGACCATGTTTATGCTCTCTCCGCCGAAGAACTCTCTGTCTCCGAGAGCCTTTTCCTCTATCGTCGCCAGCATCCGCCGCGCCCCCGCCGCCGCAGACGGTTGCTGCTCGCCGGCGGCTGTCATCCACGCTCGGAGCTTCGGGGACTGCACACACCGGTTTTGTAGTTTTATTGCGTTTATTTTTTTTGGCATAAATCAATGGTTTTTTATCCTATTATTTCCTCCCAGAATTTAATGTCATTTTTATATATTTTAATATCTAACTTTGTATTGTAGACATTTTAATAAACTCCATTAGTACCCCAAAAATGAATTTGATCACTTTGATTATAGCCTATACAAATTGACGGTTCACGTTACATAATTTCAATTTCATATATCAAAATCTTATTTAAAAAAAATCCAAAATTGGACCATCCATCTAGGATCAATCCAACTTAATGTAGTAAAATATTTTTCAACGTAATTAACCAAGTACAACATATTATAAAATATAGTATTCTAATTATATATCTACATATATTGAGAGTTTAATTTAGGAGTTTTTAATGAAATAATTTAAGATCTCTTAACCGAACGGTTAGTTTAGACGCAGAGTAAAACTTTTGTCACGACTATATTCTATATTAATACAAGGAAAAAATTCTGAATATCCATAATTACTGCGGTAATTGCGATAATACTTTTATCCTTACCTCATCGACGAGAAACTGGATCCAGAACCGAGCCGTGGCTCGGTCGTACGGATCAGCCGGCAGCAAGGGGGGATCGGGCCAAGTCTCGTCGATGTACTCGAGGATGACCAGCGACTCGGACAGGGCCCGTCCGTTGTGGACAAGAACAGGGACCTGCTTGTGAACAGGGTTGAGCTGAAGAAGCATGTCGCTCTTCTTGTTGGGTAGATCTTCTTCTACGTACTCGAACTCGACCCCTTTCAGTCTCAGAGCCCATTCCACTCTCTTGCTGAAAGGGCTCGACCAAAATCCCAAGAGCTTCACTTCCGCCATGGTTGCAGACATTCTCAAGCTTTTGTCTGCTTGATTTTCTTTTTCTGTTCATGTTTATAGAATGGTTTCTTGGTGGGTTTTGTCTTTTTGGCTTAGAGGACAAGTCGGTCAACGTTTGTTTTGTTTAGTTTAAGATTATTATGCTTTCATGGTGTCATAATTTATTAGTAAATGGTTGGACTTAAGAGACATAGGGACATTGAAATAATACCGTCCTTCTCTTTTAATTCAAAGATCCGAAAAGAGAGAAACAGAAGGGATGAGACCGGTTTAGAGGACCGGTTACAAAGGGATAAGACCGGTTTAGAGGACCGGTTTTGTACAATCTCTTTGAATTACTGATGACTAGGGTTGGATATTTCGTTTCGAGAATTTAATTCCGAATCGATCGAGTTGAAACCGAACCGAATCGGATAACATTCGGTTCTAATTTGGTCTATCTTTCTAGAACCGAATAAATCGTTTTCGAACGGAATCATATAAACGAAGATTCGTATATGTCAAGTACCGAATTAAAATCTAAATTATCCACCAAATTATATGTATATTATGTTTCAGTGTTTATTTGACATTCATATAGTAACACCGTTTCAAATCGAATCTGTTGGGTTATCTACGGGTTTCGAGCATGCGATCATATCGATCTAGGGTTTGGTTTACTAGGTTTCATGCAGCGGAAGAAAGATCTAAACCTAGTCAAACGTCACACGCAACCAAACTCGCAAAAACCCGAAAGATCGTGTATATCACCGAGGGAATCGTTACTTACCTCGTTCTCGATGAGACTTGAAGTTTATTTCGATCCGGGGCCTGTTCTAAATCACCTAGGACTGAAGTTACAGTCCCTCTACACGTATCCACACCGACGGGAAGGATTCCAAACGATTTGGAACGAATCTGCTAGGATTAATGAAGAAAAGGGTAACTCAAGAGACGAGATCCAATCCCGAGACAATAGAAATCGAAAAGAACAGGTTCTCTAGGGTTCTAGGATGTTTCTCTGAGTTTTAGGTCGGCTCCCTTTAAGTTTGGACGAAATCCCAAACTTAAATAAGATTAGAAAACCCTAAAAACGAATATTTGGAAATTTTCCGGATCCCGGTCCGGCGGACCAGGCTTAGTCCGACGCTCGCGGACCGGCTGATCTGAAGGCTTGGTCCGGCTGACCACGTGTGGTCAGCTCCGGACCAAGACCATTCTTGGTCAGTTCGGTCCGACCT